AAGAGGACCAGGAGTGGACCCACGACAGCCACGGGCAGTGGAACCAGAGAAAGGAAGGCTGCTCGTCTGTGACAGTGAGAGAGTCAGTCCCTGGCTGCAGGCGATGTTTTTAATAAGAATGTTCTTAAGCCAGCAAGTCCTGGTACACTCGCCCAGAGCAGACAGAGACGGGGGCCAAGTCTCCTATTTCTCCTGTCTGGCGATGGCACAGCCCAGCATCAGGGGCGTCTCCACCTCCCAAGGCGCAGGTCCCTGTGAGAGATAAACAGGAAGGGCCCAGCGGGGAAGTGTCTTCGGCGGGCTCCAAAATACCAGCAGCCCTGGAAGGCGACGCACTCACAGCAAAGCCTGCATGTCTGTAAGCACGTTCGTCACTGGTGGCAGCAGGCACCGGCTCTCACCAGTTACTGCTGACTCACCTGGTAGGGGACTGACTTTGCAGAGTGCCACAGGAGCTATACACTTCAAGTGCAAAGACACAACGTGGTATCTGTAGCGTTAACTGATGTCCTAATACCTGCTTAATGAGTCTGTGCTGACCCAATCCCTTTGGGCTGGTTGTTCTGGCCAAAAGGCTTCCATCCGGCAGGCGGCAAGGTAAAAGTGAAGGTGCAATCTTTGGTTACAAAGAGGAGTGAGTGTAACTGGCCACACTGTACGTCCAAAAAAGCCTGGCTAAGCAGCACTTTGGTTAATTCACTCCAAGTATTGACTGAGAACTCCTGGAGTCAGACAGAGGCCCCTCTCTTAAACATTTCTCTGGATTTCTTAAACTCTCTCTGCAGGAAGAGCCTTTGTGTCCCAGGAAGCCCACTGGAGCTACAATCCAGTCAACCCCAAACACACCCCAGGCAGTGGCTAAGACATATGAGCCACTCGAAAGTGTCCATGACTCCACAGGAAGATTTACACAATAAATTAGCAACCGCAAAGCACTATTAACTACAACTGCAACTCACTCCAGTAAGACAGTAGGTCCCAAGTGAAGAATACGAGACTGCTACATTCAACATTCTTCCAAAACTATGAACACACTTTTGTTCCCGTAACGACAGCATAAACAACTGTAGCCAAGACTGGCCATAATTCTTAATCAATCAAAGTGACGATGGATAGAAAGTCATGTATTTGCTAACTGTTCCAAATCCATATTGAAAGATTCAATGACACTAAAATTAAGCAATTTTTGAAATACCAAGCTTTTCTGGCCTGCAGAGAGTAGACTGCTCAGCACAGTGGATTGAATCCACGTCTGCCACTTACACGGTGCAGAACCTGGGGTAATAAATTACTAAGCCTCCTTTCCTCGTCTGTCAAGTGGGATCAGTAACAGCATCTACCTCATGAGCCTGTTTTAAGGATAAACGAGATGATAAATAGTGCACGCCACGCAGCAACCCCTCACTGTCATCATCATCATCATCGTCACCATCACCATCTACCTCCCCACTTAGCACAAGTCACCAAAGTCATCCACCAAGTGTCCCTTCACAGTTCACTGGGCCAGAACACTTAGGTATTGTCATGACGCAGAGATGTTTCACTGGGTGAGCAGTAAAACCAGATCTTTCCAACAACTTCCAGCCTGGTGAAGTAAACAACTGTGCTCTCCTGGGATATTTAGCCAAATACACTTTTCAAATCCCTTACACACATATAGCATGTTTCATATTTCTACCTCATCTTAAACCTAAAGGACTGGGGGCTGCTCATCAGCTCACATACAGTTCCCCGGATCTAGTACCTACAACACAGGACACTGTGTAGCCCCTCAAGCACGTATGATTCCCATTTTAAAGAAGAGGAAGTTACGTCTAAGAGGGGTGGATGTCTTCCAAATCAGCGCCCATTCTTGATCCACTAATTCAAGAGATATTCATCGGCTTACTATAAGCTAGTGAGAGAAGCTCCCAGAGACTTTATGAGTGGGAACTGAAGAGAGGAAGAAAGCCTCAAGTGTCCAATGGGAGAGGCACCCTGCACATACTGGTCAGCACATATTAGGGAGCACGCGCTGCCATGGGAAATGAAGGAAAAGAACCTGATTCAGTCTGAGGGGACCAAGAAAGTCTAATCAGATGGGCTGATGTCTAAGCTGAGACCTGAAGGGTTAAGAGAAGTTAGCTTCCGGAAAGGTGATGAGATATGTCTAGAGAAAGGGGTAAATCAGAGGATGACCAGAAAGCCACTGGATGACTCTTGAGGGCAACAGGAACATAACATTTGCATAATCAGAACTGCACGGTGAGAATAATCTGGGCAAAAACAAAGAGAAGGTGGGTGAATTAAAGGGTATTAAGTGAACGGATGGGGAGAGGGCTGGAGAGAAGAAAGGAAACACCAAGTCACGTTGGACACCAAGCTGTGACTGCAGAAGCTTGGGGTAGGGGTGTAGGTTCCTTGCTGGGCAGGCTTAAAGCTTCAGTGAATGATTCAAGAAGCCGAAACACTTGATAAGCGGTTGGATTCCAGGGACTGGAATGCAGGTAAGAAACCACAGCTGGAGACAGAGACTTGGAAGTGATCTGCACATTTATGACAAGTGAAGTCATGAGTAACTGAAATTCCCGAGAGGCAGTTAAATGTTTCCAGGACAGAAACCATGGGAAAACCCAGCAGAGTGTAGTGTTCAACACTTAGGATAGAAAATGCTTTTAGGAAGAACTGCCAATTGTGTGAACTAGTGCAGTGGAGTCAGTCGAGGTCAAATCCAAAAGAATGTCCACTGGACTCAACAACGAGGTCACAGGTGAAGTGAGTTTGTTGACAAAGGTGAAGCCAAAACCCAACAGTGGTCAGGTGAGGGGAAAGTGGGAGTGGAAAAATGCTCGCCTGGCTGTCTGAAAGAAAAGACAGAGTGCAGAAGATTTGAAGTCAGGGGTTTAAATGAAGGGGAGGTGACATGACTATTCTGACAGGAGGGAAGGAGAGAATGGGAAGAAATACAAGCAGGTCTGTGGGCGGGATGTGGGACATGGAGGGTTGCAGTCTGGCTCAGCACGGCAGAGCTCACACGCTGGTTCCTAACTCTCTTTCAACCGACCTTCTTTTCAGTTCACCAGCTTATAAAGACGTCTTCTTCCTTCCCTCACCTCCCTTTAGTTTTCTCAGAAGGCTGCATGAGCTGAATTGAAACTGTAATCTAATCTGATGTGCCTCATTCCAAAGGCAGGGTCCCAACTTCTTCAAAGCTAATCCTAAAATCCTACTAAGCCAAACATTTCCTCTGTGATGAATGGCCGCATCTAACGTAAGTATACACACCGTGCACAGCCTGCTGGCCCACGTGTCTGGGTCAGGGCAGGCTCCACGCTGCCGTCCAAAGCAAATAGTTTAAGTGTTAAATTTCATCTTATAGTCTAGATCCAGTAATTGTCAGATGTGCAAAATAAAGACAGTTTAGGGGGAAAAAAATAAAGATTTCTGAAATGTTCTAAGATGGCTACAGAAGTCTCAAATGCACAAGCAAAGCAGGATGGGACTGCTAGATAATTATGGTCTGCTCCTGTTTTAACGTTTGTGAAATCCAGTTTGGATGCCAAGGAAAGACCTCTAAAATCATTAGCACGTTAGGCTCTGAAAAAACTCCTGGTATTTACATAGAAGGCTTATCAAGCTTTGACTGTCAAGAACTACCCAATCCTTACAACGCACGTTGTGAGACGCTACGGCCTATTCAGGGAGCCTGAAGTTGAGATGATGAAATAAGCAATGAGCTACTAAAGCCATATATATTCAATAAGCAACTAGTTTTTATATGAAGAGGTACTGCATTAAGTCGTTACGCCAAATGTAATAAAAACATCTTTTTGCAACTTTGATCACTGTGATTGATGTGGGGAAACGTTAGCTTCATGAGGAGATCAAATTACTTCAACATGTTAGATTACAAAGCAAGGCGTAAAGCAATGAATGGAACAGGGACCCAGTACATGCTAATTACAAACCAATTCCTAGGTACTCTTTACACAGGTTCCCCAAGGTCAACTATGTGGTTTTATTGGCTTAAGTTAAAGCAATAAAATGCTTTCTTTACAGTGTAATGTCTCTGGAGCCACCAATTCATCTTAGAATCACCACAGTGGGACAAGCTGGTATTCATTCCCTGACTCGGGCATGATGCATAATGAACACGGAACGTCTGACGTATTCCTATCTAAAAAATTCCCATCTAAAAAATTAGAAATTATGGGATAAAGAGAAACAAGTTAAACAATGTCAAACAGAAGCCATATACCCCATTTTTCTAGAAACTCAATAGCCCATTACAAAATAAAATTAAATTGCTATAGAATGAGAGAGATTTAAGTTATACAACAACCAAACATAACGCTGACTCTCTCTGGATCTCAACCAGAACAAACCAACTTTGAGAAGATCAAAATAATATTAAAAAATAATCTTGCTTAGTTTATTAAATCTAATAATGAGCATTTTAAAACTTATTAATTGGAGATATATACTTATTACTTTAAAAAGAGAAAGAATATACATATTGCAACTCAGATTCTTCAATGATTTTGAGTTATAGAACGTCTCCTAGACACTTTGAGGAGGAGGTTGCCTCTTCTCACTACCAAACTCAGGAAATAATCACGCAAGTCAGAAAATGCTACCAGCAGTTTTCAAAACATCACTTCCTTCCTCTCCTGTTTTCTTCCATATTTGTCATAGGGCTAAGAGGTAAATTCAAACATTTTTAACTTTGGTTCACCTTTGTTCTCAGTCTCCTCATGAATGTGGTAGATAGCTCACTGCCAGCCTTGGGGGGTAAAGGTAAAGGCAATTATTAGCAAAATCACAGAACGAGATTGGAAGGGCTTGGAAAGGTCCATTTTATAAAGGAAAAAACTGAGGATCAGAGACACTGAGGGATTTTTGAGGTCACCCTACTACTTACTGACAGCCAAGCCAAGAACCCAAATCCTGGAGGTCTGTCAGTCTGGTGCCTTTCCTTACACCAAGGGTGCTGGGGGTGGGAGTGGGGCTTTCACTCGTACCTTCCCGTGCTCCTTCCTCACGTGGGAAATGTAAACATCTCTTTGCGTGAACAGGCGGTCACACTCCCAACACGTCCACCCGGGACTGGCCACCTTCTTGGGTTCCATTGATTTCTTCACAGGAGATGGGGATTTCTTTTCCAATTTCTCTTTCCCATTCATGGATCTGGTGTCCTCTTTGTTTTGATTTGCTGAATTTTGAGTTGCAGGCTTAATGCTCAAAGGCAAGTTTATACCCAAGTTTGGAGGCCCTTCAATACTTTTCAATGTTCCATGCATAGACTATGTCATAAAAAGAGAAGAAATATCACAAATCACACCACTAAAAAAGAGCGCATGTGGGCTACTCAATGCATAGGACATTTGCATGTGATTTACATTCATTCAGAAATACTTTATATGTCAAGAAGAAAACCTATGCAAAATATATGCTTAAAAAAGAGATAAAGAAGCAGTATTTGTAAGTCAACTAGACATGCATTTCTAGTTCCAAATTATTTTTGAAAACCTATTTGCTTGTACTGTTTTAAAACTCTTGAAAGACTTCTGTACTGAATCCAGATTACTCCTGACATTCCAGTACAGCACAGTGAGTCTTCCCCACAGCAGACATCTCTGGGGAAGGTTTTACTTTCACATACTGGTAGGTGTTCGAGACCCTGAGATAACTAACTTTAACTGTACCTAAGACCAAGTACGATAATAGCAAGCCCTCTCCCTCCCTTTCATGTCTTTCGCATTCTTGGGACACTTAGAACAGTTGGGAGTTTTGCTGGGGTTTGGGGCCGGGGGGTAACTTTAATCTCCCTATGCCCTATCTGAATCCATCCCTTCTTACCAAAAGCACCCAGACTTGTGACCTATACACAGTAGATACTAAAAAAGCCTTTTTAAACTGCTTAGCTATTTATTTTCATTAACTTCAACAGCTATCTTCAACTTAAACTCTCAGAATTTCAAATTCTACTGGAGCAAAACAAGTGTGCTTGATTCTAAAGACTGGCTTACTTGGCTTTTGTGTTTTTTTGTGTGTTCTGGAAGCATGGAGTAAAAAACAAACAAACAAAGGAAGCAAATCAGCCTGTGCCTCTTCTAGTTTGTTTTTGACTAGGGCCCCCTCCTTCCATCAGTATTCAGGCTGCTGCTGGTGTCTGAGTTCCCAGCCTGCAGAGACTCAACACGACGCCGGCCGTGCCCTCAGGTGCGTTGGCACAGGCAGGCCTCCCGGGTGCGGGGCTCGCGCTGTGAACACCTAGCTCCACATTCCTCCCGAGTGTGAGCGTGGAAAGCTGTTCCCTCAGAGGGGGCTCCAGCTCCCGTTCTCAAGGCAGGTCTCTAAACAGTACCAAGAAGCAGCCAGCCTTCCTCAGTCCTGCCTGTCCAGTGCTCCTTTGCAAACAGAAAGCTGAGGTGAGACATGAAGTCTGGACAGCCCAACACTGTGCTTTGCTTCCTTTCTACCACGCAGGGCAGAGGCTTCTGGCTTTTTTAAAAACAGGAGCCATATTCTTTCACTGTTAACCATTTAAATCCCCCAAAAAACTAAATCCAAGATTTTCTAATAGCTTTCCCTATGTTTCTAAGCAAATGCATTTCTACTAATTAATAAGTTGAAGACAGAGTAAAGTATTAAAGTATTCTTCTATAAAATAACCTTAGCGTGCTACAGAAATTACAGAAAAGCAGCAAAAACTTCTGCCGTAACAAGAGAGCAATGGAAGGTGTGCGAGAGTGTGAATTTCTAACTTACACATTTTATTTTCACATTGTAACTGAAAATAAGATTATTTACTTAAAACTAATATTTTAATAACAGAGTTGATTTTTCCTTAGCTCCGGTAGCATAACTTGAATGACTGTAACTTGGAAGTTCACTGTAAACGTAAATGCCAACATGAAGGACGTGGGCTCCGGGGAGTAAGTCTGTGTCTCGCCGGGACAGAGCAGTGCCATGAACTGGATTAGACTGGGCAAAGAGAGACCTGCCTTAAATGCAGGTGGAGAAACACTGTTCCTGTGCTACTCCGGCTAATTCCTTCCTCATGACAAACTGGACAGCACAGGTATTAGGCAATGTAAATAAATTCACAAGAGCTAGGTACATATCTTAAAAATAACAACGGGGTGCCCCTAAAACTGGATCTTCATTCTCACATCTCAAACACATAGAGGCAGGATAGCGTTTAAAATGTACAGAACGTACTTGAATGCCACATGATGCCACTGTTTCCGCATCATGTCCCATGAAGCTTCGGATGAGTAAGAACAATTTTCCCTCCTTGTGGCCACAAGATTCTACCAGCTCCTCTTCACTCTATTTCTTGGGACCTTGTATTCCTCCAAGTTCACTATTAACACAGGGAAGGCCCTAACCACCAAGTCCATGGGAGACCCACTTCCAGACGTAAAGGTGAGTTCTGGAAAGCAAATACCTTAAAAGCCTCTTAAGGAGCAACTTTTCTTTGTGGCCCCTCCCCCATACAATATGTTAAAGTATTTGGGTCTAATTCTAATCAGTTTTTAGTTTTTCCTTAAATAAATATTGTCAAGAGAGTTTTGTGATTTTAGCAAAAACTTTTAAAATATCTTAAGAGGGTTGCATTGTACTTAAAGTGAGAATGATGAAATATACGGCATCTAACATGCAGACTCCGAGACATGAAGTCCTCTGCAATAGGCGACTATACCTGTGAGCTCACGTACACTCTACAGGGAAGTTCCAAGGCTTAACAGTCCATTCATTTACCTAAGATGAGACTAGACCAAATCAGACTGAACTTGCTCCTTAAACTGATCTTTTTGTGTAATATATTAAAACAGAGAAAAACTAAGAGAAAGAGATTGAATTCACAATAATATGGGATCTGTTCTTTCTCTTTTTAAAAAGTTAAGTCACTTTAATCTCTGAGAGCTAATGGATATTCTCTCCTAATCACACAGGAATAAAATTGTTTGACCTGCCACAGTGGACGGCTAAGAGGCTAGGACTAAGCTCAGTCCTTAGTGAGCTTTAAAGGCTGTATAGAGATTTAAGTGTCCCCTTTGGGGGTTGGAGTTGGTTGTCCAAATTGGACATTTATTCATTTCATTAACTGAACACCCACCAGAAGCCAGACACTGTGCCGTATCCTGGACATAGCTGATGACATGCAGCCTTGATAGAAGAGAAAAAAGAAAAAAAAAAAGACTAAAAGATCCAGAGCATCAATTATAATGCAAATTTAGCTGCTTAATTTCAAGGAAAAACCTTCATTGTTCTAAATACACCAATATTTGTACAAATTAGACAATCTGTCCGAGTCTCTTTCTATTTCTAAATCCTATACAACACCAAGTTTCCAAAAAAGTAAATTTCACAGTCATCATTTTCACCTGTAGAAAAAGAGAAGCCTGACGCTTGATTATGCTTTTAAAATCAGTGCATGCATTTGTTACTTTGTGCTGGTCCTTCATGGTACACAGTCAGGGCCAGGGAAGAAAAAGCATCCCTCAGTCGAGTAAACATGTAAATTGCTCATTACCAACGACCAGCATCCATCCCCTTCCCTCGACAGCCCACATGCTTTATTGTCATCTGCTGCTCAGCCTTGACTTATGACCAGTGAATGGATCTGGGATTCATTTAAAAGATGAGAGGCGCACACACCTTGATATGGTCCATCATGAGTTGCTTCTGTGCATATAAAAGAGAACAGTCTGGACACTTGAAAACAGACACCTTCTGGTTTTCGATGTGTTGGTCAAAGTGGCGATACAACAGGGTTTGCAGGGTAAATACGGTGTCGCACATGGAACACTTATATATTATTCTAAAACAGAGAAGCGCATGGACATGTCAGTCAGCCCTCATCGCTCAAGCCAAAGGAACTTTTCATCTCATCTCAAGAATTCAGGAGGCAGAAGCAATAAGAACACATAAACACGGTAAGAAGAACAAAACATTTTAGCTTTGGAACAAACTTTTGAAGACAACTGGCATCACTCAAATGCAGATCAATCTTAACATTTTGGGCAAAGATTTAGGCACATTTGCTTAGAATGAATGACAGTTTTACGACTTACAGATCTACAACGGACATGTTTTTATAAGGTCTCCACTTGTTACTTACTTTAACACCGAGCAAAAGCACCCTTGATGCCTTTTTTTTGAGTTTTTTTTTTAAAGATCAGACAAGGAGTATGGCTCGATGGTAGTACCCTAACCTGAAAAAGAGTTTGATGAATGAACTAAGCAGGCCCACTTGCCTAGCAGCACACGCTGTCACCTGTCGCAAGTTTTCTCTTGGACTTAGTAGCGATTTTACATTTGAATGTCAACATTCTGTTCTTAACACAAAAAGCCCCATAGGAAAGAAAATCTGCACTTCAATACCTGAATGTGCACTGGGCTTTAATTGGAGTAAAATAGTCACTGTCCACTACAAACCATTTCTGTACCTAGTATGTTACTACCAAGCAGCCTCCTCACTTTAATTCTGCAGCTTCAACCTTCAGAGCACAATCCATCCTATCCAGCAACACTTTCTACTGAGGCTCAGGCAAGAGTCCTCTGGCGCAGTGAATGTTCCTAGACTCCCTGCTACAACCTTCCCGCCAGCGAATCTGACGGGTCACTTGTGGACACCTCTGCCCACAGTAGGTCGCCCTTTCTTCCAAGGACCAGGTCATCCTCGTCCCTGGGGGCGGCCCTGGAAGACCTCTGTCTCCTCTGAAGAACTGATGAGAACAGGCACAAAGAATCCTAGGGAGCAGCTTAGGAAAATGGCAGAGAAACAGAGACTGAAGACGACAGTCGGAGGTGAAAAAGAGAGCATGGAGGTTCCATTTGGTATTCCAGCAGCAAAGCTAAAGAAACAAATGCCTCTTGTGCCCATTTGTCTTTCCTCTCAAGGTCTTTTCAAGAAAGTACTTCTCATGTACCCTCAAACCTCACTGTGCATTTCTCTGTCCAAAAATTACAGGTTTAATTTTTTCTTTCTTTTCCCATAAGGTTTATAAATTTAATTGGAGTGACACATGTTCCAGACATATACCAATGACATGGAAAGATTTAAAACAGCAGGTAACAAGACAGTGTGTACGAGGTGGTCACATTTTTTAAGGGGCACAGAAAAGAACAAGACGGCCTGTCACCACCTCTGCTGGAGGATAATGTACGGGCTCCTTTCACTGTTTTGCTTGTCTGTATTTCCTGACTTTTCTGAAATTAGCATACAGCAATAAGGAAAAAAATAGCCTGAAGAAAAAAAGTATGATTTACTAGGTAGGCTGAGAATTTTCTCAGGATTCTATCCTTACATTTTCAGAAATAACTACTTTGTGAAAAATGGCATGGCTCATTCCATTCATGCCACATTCCTTTGGAGTAGGGATTTGTTTGGTTTGATTTGTTGCCTTTACTTAATTGCAAAGCAAGTATAAAACAGCAGAGAATCTATTTATTTAGGCTTTTTTCAGAGGAATGGGTTGTTGGTATAATATCTAAACTCTGCCCCACAAACCGCTGTAAACATAAAGGGGAAATGGTGACACCGACTGCACTGGATGATGGAGGTTAATGACATCAGCACAAGGACAGACAGGCACAGGTGTCCCTAATGTGATGCAATGAGAAGATTCCAGCTCCAAGGAAGCAGTGACGCACCCAGGGAGGAGGTTCACCCTCAGAGTGAAAGGCCTGTATCCCCTTGTCGGACGGCCAAACACATGAGGGGGAGAGACTGAGCAGCTGTTCCGGATGAAAGAACGCTGATGAGACGGGGCAATTAAATCAACATGGGCTCATGGATAATATTTTGGACCACAAGTTTTTAGAAAGACTTTGTCTCAATCACTGGGGACATTTTCATGGACTCTGAATTGGACGGGCAAGTGATCGATACTAACTCCTGACTGGGGGCAGAGGCAGGAAACACTCACATGTTTATGTCATGACACCTACGATTCCTAAACAGGAGAAAGACAGATACAGAAAGAGAATGAAATGATGAATGAAATGGAAATACTGACAACTGCACGAGTTCTCCAAAGTGTTCTTCCATCTTTTCTGCAGGATAGAAACTATTACACAACAAAAAACCGGTGCTAATGAACCTCACAGACACAGGGACAGAACACGAAGACAGAGCTAACACAATGGAAAAACCACAGGAGGCTGCCCAGCGGAGGAGGGCAGACAGTCACGACCGTGAGAAATGTTGTGTGGGGGGTGCCCAGGGGAGTGGGAAGGGCAAACCTGGAAGGGTGACCGAGTCCTGGATGTCATAAGGCTCAGTGAACGGCAGAGTAACTAGACTATAACCAAGGAGGGGAAGAAACTGGAGAGGTGGGGAGGGAGGGAGAAAAGAAGAAATAGAAAGCTAAAACCAAATACTCACACTCAGGTACAGCTTGCAGCAACCAAAACTCTCCAGAAAAGAGTGCTGCGCTTGACATGGGTGTGAAAACAAATAAGTAACGGGCACTAAGCTCTGAAATACCTGCCACAAGGCTGCTCCACCACAAACTGGACCCAACCAGGTGCACATTTGTCCTGAGCACCATGTGACACTGCGACGCCCCGCCTCCCCTGGGAGTTCACACTGCCACCACTTCACAGGACAGACTCCGGTTAGCGAATCTGCTTGATCCTGTGTGAATCCAGGGTCACGGTTCAAATTCTGCTTCAGCCAACTCCAAAGTGCTCTACCATGCCCCTCCTGTGACATCTGCACATGTTTTATTTCTTAGTAACTTGTTCAAAAACTCTGTCTCTCATACAATTCTAAACTCTGGAGTTCTCATTTATCCACTTATATACACTTGGAGCTGACAAATAAAAGGCCGGCCCAAAGCAACAAAAGAAACTGCTGTTCATCAGATGTCAGGGAAAATACAAAAACAAACAGACACAAACTGGATCACCATAAAATCCAGTAAAGGACACTGAAAATTATCTCAAATTAGCCAGAATAAGCTAAACGGTGTTCCAAGTTTCCTTCTACATGGCAGGGAAGCCTGCCTGACCTTATACTGGAAAATATGGAACCGAGCCCTGGAACAGTATCTGGCACATAGAAATACCACATAAATGTCTGTTAGAAATCTGGTGCTGTGCCCTGGCCTGTGGCTCAGCTGGTTGAACACTGTCCCGTGCACCAGAAGGTTGCAGGTTTGATCCCCCATCAGGGTGCATGTGGGGGTGGGGGTGGGAGAGCAGCTGATCTATCTCTCAAAACCGATGGGCATGTCCTCAGGTGAGGATCACATGTAGCCACAAGGCCTCCTAGCATGGCACAGGAAGGAGGGTTTACAGAAGCCTGAATGGGAGGGTGGCAGGGAAGAGCGGGACAGGCATGACAAACAGCAAAGCCCAAGATGGGCCACCTGGTGCCACAGCTGGCCTGCAGGTGAGGCCTCAATTCAGCCACGCCCCAGTCATCACCCCGAATCAATACTGCTATCTTAAAGTTCAGTTTAGTAAATGGAGTCACTTCTATAGTCAATAATACTTCCCCAAAACTAAAAGTTACAATAAAAGCCAAATATATATCATATGGCGTATCTGCATACCTTCTCTTCCCTAAAATTTCCTTGATTATCGAGTTATGGGCAAAAACACAATAACAGATTTGAGACTGCCAATCCAGCCTCACATAATCATCGAATTCCACACTGCCATAAATACTACAGGAAAAAAATGAATATAACCATGAGCATTTATCTCATCCAGTGCTGTGCCTGGGTCCACATGAGGGGGCAGGGAGCCCTGGGAAGGAACTAATGCTACAGAGCCCCCCCCATGCTCCAGACGTAAGGCTGTACATGTGCTACGTTGGCATTTTAAACAGGTTGCCTTGTTACGCCCTCACTCACACCCTGGGACATAAGCACTGCCCTCACTTAACGGGGAAAATGCAGTCTGAGACAGGGTGAGTGAAGGTACAATTTCACACAGCTGGGGGGGGGGGAATTCTGACTCCGGCGCCCACACTCCCTTCTCTCTACTAAGCCGCCTCTATTGCGGGCAGGCAGCCCATGACTGTCTGCTGAAGCACCATTTCATTATGAAAGGCACAGAAAAGCAAAAATTGACAATACTGAAAGCGAGATTAAGGCAAAAATGAAATTTACTTTTACTAATCAAGGACATACACTGGCGATGACGTTAAATTCAGTAACCAGTGTCTTAAGTTGACTTCATCTTATAGATGTTACTCTGAAAAGTGTATGCTGTAAGAAAGAAACTATGAAAACATTGCAGGATGACAGCTTTTTATAGTTCTCCTAAAACCTGTTAAGACATCTTAAGAAAAAGAACAAAACTGAAGATATTCACTTGTTTACTAAAAATTGATGAAAAGAGCATAAATATAATGAGGGACATTTTTGGATAAAGACGTCACCTGGAAAGAACTGAAAGTTCTGGGGAGCTATGAGCTGTACTTCCTTGAGCATCGGAATCTGCCTGGTGGCATCCTTTCCCCTGTCTTAATTTTTTTCCCACAGAACTACCTCTTCTAAGTCACTAATAAAGTAGTGGAGTACAAGTCAAAAGGCAGCACGACTTACTTGGGCTCTCCTATCTTGATGCCAGGATGTTGTGTGTAGGCATGGGAATGTGTGCTGGGGGCAGACTTAAACGCCATTGGACAAATAGGACACTTGTAGAAGACTTCACAGTGAGAACCTTGAATGTGAGACTTCAGTGCGGCCACATCAGAGTACACAACATTGCAATGTACACATCTGTTAGAAAAATAAACACAGATTTGTTACGTTAGCACGAGACCATTACACATGTGTAACTTAACTGGGTAAAAACTGGGTAAAATGAACACATTTTAATAGTCCCTTTAAGTTGCTAATAGCTTTCTGGAAGTAGGTTTCATTTTTTTCTAATGATAGCAGATCAAATTATTTTTATATATGTAAGAAGGAAGATCATGAAGAAAAATAAAACTCAAATGATCTATTTTTTGAGCATCTTTAAAGTTTCTAGGATTAGATGTCCAGACTCGACTGTGATGAGACCAATGGAATTGGGGGCCATTATCAAGGCCAGGAACACAGCAAGGTGTCTGGCTCTGGGCCTTGGAGGAGACTCTAAATGCCGGATTCTGAGGGCTGTGAGGTTCCTCCCCATGCCCTCTACCCAAACGGCCATTTCCAGTGGCAGAATCACTATCTAACCCTATGTGTCATCAATAGAGGAGCACAGAGGAACACATGAGCACTGGCTCCAAGGCCAAGGCCACCGTTTCCTGGTCCACACTGCTGTGGTTAATGTATCTGGAGGTTACGGGGCCCACGAGGTAGAAAAGGTCAACCACCTAGATTGCTTGTCTCCCAAAAGATAAACTTAAGTCTACTCCGATTTAAGAAATGATATGAATGATAAACTTCTGAAAAACCAACATCTCCAAATAAATTGCCTCTCTAGCTAACCTCTTTACTTCTTAAATTTTTAATAATTTAATTTGTTCTTCGTTCAAATCTCATCCTACAAAAACTTTAAAACGTAGAGATACATTTCTCCCAACTTCATCTTTAACACTCAAGGACTCTCAGCAACACTGAGTGTGTGTGACCATTTGGTGACCTAGTTGTCCTTCTCTGTTGACATCTGACTGTGTGAATGGAAAGGTCAACTTGAGGAACGTAGACTGCAGACAGGGCCTGCCTTCTAGGAGGCAGTGCTAGAGGCTTCTATATTAATCTAAGGTATTTCTATTCTTAGATCCCCCCTTTTATATTCCTGGAGACACTCCCAAAGTCTCTGGGGAGTGGCATGCTCTGAAGGATGTGTGTTCTATAAAGTGTGCCATGTTAAGCTTTGCAAGCATGTTCTAAAAACCATTATTAATGCATTAGCATTTTAAATGATTTAAAGCATAATGTTCAGCAGCATATACATAAAGAACACTAAATAACAACAGGAGAATAGTTAAGGAAAACTCCTCCATCCTATCTACTTTTATTTTAAGCAATAAAGCCACCCAAGCATACTGAAATTATTTTGTGTTAACCCGAACTTGTGTTGTCTTGAACAGGTTATTATTAATCCTCTCTGGGATGTTTTCTCATTTGTAAAATGAGTTGTTTTTTTTTTCAGTCCTTCCCAACCCTAGAAGCCTGTGATTCCTATGAAAAAGATGACATAAAACAAAAACAAATGGGTTACTAATGAAACAGAAGCATTCTCCACACCAAGGATCATAAACAAGAACTAGATCTTTCCCGTCAAGGGTAGAAGGGTGGTGTTCAAAGGGCAAAAGACCAAGGAAGGGCCTAAGGAACAAACAGCTCATTCTCTGAAGTCACCTGGAGTGAGAGACAGTTAATCCTAAAGAAAATAACCAGGATATTAAACAATCTACAGCTGATGAAGAAGGTGACAAAGGCTTGGCCCAAAGAGCATCATGGAGGCCAAAGGAAAACCCTTTGTCATGTAAGGAAAGAAAGAAGAGAATTTAAAAAGAACGAGGGAGAGAGAAAGTTGTAAAACATCTAAAGTGGAAGAAAGGTTCAAGGGCAACAAGAGGCCAATAGTGAAAGTAAGACAAAGAGAAATCAGAATTTAAAGGGGTCACACAGTACCCCAATGCTAACTAAAAATCAGTCTGCTAATATTTAACATACCTGAAATCCTTTGTGTTCTGGGATCGATCAAGTTTCTCTTTATTTTTTAATTTTAAAAATGTTTACAATATAAAAATCCTATAAAATTCCCCTTTCTAGACTCAGATCCAATGGATCGAGAAGCAGGAAAATTCAGAGCTATACAGTGGTGCCTCGGTTTTCAAACATCTCCATTGAGGATCATTTCGGTTTATGACGCCGGATCCCGGGAGGAAATGCTTCGGGTTTCAAACCCGCCTCGGGAGTTGAACATGCCCCGCGGCTTCCACTGAGGGCAAGACCCTGAGGCCCAGCTGTCGACTGTGGACCCCTCGGGTTTCAAACGTTTCAGAACCTGAATGGTCTTCCGGAACGGATTCCATTCCAAAACCAAGAGACCACTGTACTTGACTTTTACCAAATCAACCAGAAGCTAGACATGACCCACCCCTCATTATTTGGGCAATGCCCTGTGATCAAGAAGAGAGGAAATGAGACATACTGAACCCAAAAAGAGACAAAGGAAGACATGGGAGAGCCGTGTTAGAGAGACTCCTCTGCCTAAAAAAAAACAAAACTATAGAGTCAAAAAGGAGAGGAAAACATACAAGGCCAGGGGGCTGCCGAGCCCCAGTCCAATATTAGACTAGACCATTATTTAAAACAGCAAGAAAAAAGCTAGGGTCAAGTTATTTTCTATCATCTAAGGAGGTAAATAGGGGTTAAACTTCAGAATATACAAACACATAGTATTTTTACAGCTATTAAAAGCCTCATGTCCAGGAAAAAAACCTATACTAAACATAAAAATTTTACGTAAAATTCAAGGACCCACAATGAAGCAAAACCAGAAAAAAAAACACAAAGCAAGGGACCCGCAGGGCCTCTGCTTTCATTCAGGAAAGATACCAGGAATAGCTAACGTTAGAGATGTCTTACTTCCTTTACTTGTTCCAAACAAGTTTACTTTCATTATATTAGAAAAATAAACTAAACACCTGGGGGAAGTTTGGCAGCACTCAGAAAATGCCGTGGGACTGCTCCCCGTCATTATGAAACAAAATGGTACCACTGCGCAGATTCGGGGAAGTGAGAGCACCTTCCCTGCGTAACTTTCCCCCGAGCGCTTGGCATGCGCTTTGATTATCCTGTTTGCTCTCTAACATTCCCCTGGAGATGCAGGCAAGCATCACACCAATTTTACAGACGGGGAACCAGGGCACTGAGAGAACACTTGAAATATCACACAATTAGCAGAACTGGTACAAAAAACTCTGGTTTCTTAACTTCCAAACCCAAGGTTTTCAACTGGGGTAGATGCCAATCCATTAAACATTGGTGCATCACAAGTCTGGAGGCTGAGGTTAAAATATGAAATAAGTCTTAGTGTTAGAAAAATGGACAGAGCCACCAGGAATTGGTGATGCCATAACCTCAATTTAACTGAAATAAAACTGTCAAATCATACCAACTGGACTTCATTTTTATAAAACATCATAACTGTATTACAACTAAAAAAAAAATCACTGCACTGTATTAACAATTAACAATCTAACATTAAAGATACCAAGCAAAAAAAAAAAAAAAAAAAAAAAA